AGTCAAAGAGTATAGTCAACCACTGAGCCCCGACTCAAAGCCTTTCCAGCTTAAAACTTGCCAGTTTACCTGACCCTCATATCATATAGCCTTCAAGGATCCAGAGTCACCTGCACCACCCATCATCAGGCTTCAGAAGAGAAGGAAGTTGCTGCAGACATTATTATCCCCAGTTTACATGTGAGGAAACTGAGGCACAAAGAAAGGAATAACTATGCAAAGGGAGTTTCGATAAATCAACCTTTGAAGTCTCAGTTCCTCAAAGTTAAGCACCTAGGGGCAGTTAGGTGGAGCAGTGGATTAGAGCACTGGCCCTGAAGTCAGGAGGACCTGAGTTCAAATCCAGCCACTTGACATGCACTAGCTGTGTGACCCTGGGCAAGTCATTTAACCCCAACTGCCTAAAAATTTTTTTTTTAAATTAAGCACCTACTCTGTGCTAGGCACTGGAGATAAGCGACACAAAATGTAACTCTCCCTGCCCTCAAGAAATTTCTATTCTACTGGGGTTATTGAAGAAGAACATATCAAAGATACAATTGTTTGTCCTTAATCAATAAGCATTTGTTAAGTGCCTACCATATGACAGGCATTGTGCTAGCTGGCATCCAAATTAAAAAATGAAAACAGTCTCTAAAGAGACTTACATTCTATTACTGGAGACAACATGTACACAATACAAGTACATCTAAATAAATATAATATAATTTCAAGAGGTACTAGTGGCTGGGGTCAGGGAGGGAGGGTTAGGGAAAAGGCTTCATTGTAGGATGTGGTGTCTGAGCTGAGCTTTGAAGGAAACCAGAGGTCCTAAGAGGTAAAAATGAAGAGGGAGTGCATAGGGAACCTACAGCCTGTGCAAAGGCCCAGAAATGAGAGATGGTATGGCAAGTATGGGAAACAGCCAGAAGGCCAATTTGTTTGGACCGTAGAATTCAAGAAGACAACTGATAAGCCTGAAAAAGCCAGATGAGAATCAAACATAAGAATACTTGGGTGAACTTATACAAAGCAAAGTAGCCAAGAAAACAAAATACACAATAACAATCATTGTTGGTCTTCACCTGTGATTTCATTGGCACAGTGACCTCCCTGTCATCTTATACCATCACAGACTGTCAACTCTTCTGTAACTTACACTCTTAGAGAATTGTCTTGGGCATTGAAGTTAAGTGACATACCTGGGGTCAGATAATCAGTGCAGGCGGTGCTGGTAAATGTTTCTGAAAACGCATGTCACACTTTTGATTTTAAAATGCATTATTAACATTTTCTCCATCACTTTCTAAGTCTAGATAACCAACAAAACAATAAATCAAGCCTTAATCTGTAGCATTGGCTGAGTTCAAAGGGCACACCCCTGCCCCAGTATGTGTCCAAAGTGGGGCTTGAACTGAGGGCTTCCTGACTCTGAGGTCAACTTTCTCTCCATCCAGTAAGTTAGACAGAAACTCCAATATGCCTATGGATCTCTTGTGAGTATTGCCTTCAGTGATGGAGACTATAACCATCCAAGTCTGTGACTCCTGTCCATATCTTCCTGTAAGCACCCAATGTGCCAAGGGTCTTCCTCACATACTCTTGACGTTGCAGGGAGATATGCATTCATAAATTTTATATAACTATGTCTATATAGACACATATATATAAAATCTGCAAGTGTTTTTCTCTTTTGGTGGGGGTAGAGGTTGGAGTGGGAAGAGAGGAGTTGAGGAAGTGGGGAATCACAGAGTAGTACCACTAAGAATCTCTCCTAAGGCAGTTAGGGCTCCCCAGAAGAGAAAGAAGGGTTGACTGTTCATGGGCTAGAGTGTCTTTCACATTTTGCATTTTCTGCTGAATGAAAAGAAACCTATTATCTATTTCTTAATCTGAAATACAATTTATCATTGTATTTCAATATAATTGATTTTCTTTATAACCCTAGGTGTTTTATTTTATACATCTGTATGCATTTATCTGAGAAGTCCATAGGTTTCACCAGACTGATTGGAAAAGGTAGAGCATGGACATCAGAGAGCTCCTCCTTGATCCTCCATGTAACGGGGCAAACCAAGGCAGTCACCTTATCTTTCCCTACCAGGCTGCTTCCAAGGACTTCATCAGGATCTGCATGCAAGATCACAGCAACTCTGAAACTCCACCTCCTCAGGACCATCCCCTAGGGCCCCACTCTCTCTGTGATTGGAAAGGTCAGAGAGTGGACCTCTTAGAGCTCTTCCCAGATCTTCCATTTAAGGAGGGCACTCTGGGCAGCAATCTCATTTCCTACACAGGACTTCATCATACTGACTTCAGCATGCCACCAGAACCCTTCCTTCCCTTTTCCCTCAGCCCCCAGTTCTTTTCAGCTTCTTTTTATAAGCCTTACCCCATTACATTGCAAGCTCTTTGAGGGCAAGGAATGTCTTTTACCTTTCTTTGTATTTCCAGTACTTAGCACAGTGCCCGTAGATGTTTAATAAATGTTTACTGACAGCCAAGATGGCAGAGTAAAAACAATAACTTGCTTGAGTTCTCCCCCAAACCCCTCCAAATACCTGTAAAAAATGGCTCCAAACAAATAAATGTTTATTGACTGAAGTATCAAGAAAGGTTAAGAACTCTTCTTCTATTGTATGTATTATTAGCCTGAGCATTTGCTTGAGAATGGAAGGTCCTTTCACTTTTTTTTTTTTTGGTAGAGACCAAGACATAGGCTATATATACTGACAATACCTGGAGAAAACATAGGTAGAGCACGAACCACGGTGATTAAAGTCAGGCTGTGGAAACCCAGAACTTTGGTTCCAGACCACAGGTTATTTGGGGATATTTGGGAGTCACCTGCATAGCGGTAATCACTGAAACTATGGGATCAGATGCAGATGAGGTCACCCAAGGGAGAATTAGGTAAGAGGTGAGGACTGACCAAGGACTTAGGGTGTGGGAGGAACTACAAGACCCCAGCTAGAAGAAGCAGAGGAGACTAAAAAGGAAAAGTTGGACAGGTAGGAAAAGAACCAGGAGAGACCAAGGAGAAGCCAAAGAAGAAAGGAACATAGGAGTGGACAAATGTCAAAAGCTACAAAAAAAAAGTCACAAAGTTTGAAGACTGGTTTGAAGAAATCTGCTCTTTGTGAACACCAATTTAGCAACTAAGAAGCCATTGGTGACATCTGGGGGGAAAAAAAGCTTCCGTAGATTGGTGAGATAAAAAACTAGAATGCCAGGGGCTGAAGAATGAGTAAGTAGTGATGACTCTAGCAATTTCCCAGAATTTAACCTCCCAGCCCAGTAAATTCATTCAATCTTCAGACTGCTCAGGGCAATTAAAGCTGCCTGGATTGGTGGCTGCATGAACTCATTTTTATCTTAGCATTTTCTAGCCAATACCAACTTCCTAAGCTGATATTCACTAGGGCTCACCTAGAAGGGGAATCTTACCATCTATTCTTTTACATAACTCTATCATGCCTCCCCCATCCCCACACATTTTTCACTTCTGGTCTAGGGAACAATAATTAGCTCAGTACTATCTTTTCTACTGGAAAGAACAGTGAGATTCTACTGCCCTATGTTGGCAATCAACAATTCGTGTGACTGTTGAATCCAAAACTTCCTTCCCAGACTACCATTCTCTAACATTGTATTGTACCCCCTTGAGGGCAGGGACTATCTTACCTTCAGATTTGCAGTCTCAGTACCTAGATGCCTGTCACCAAAAATAAATAAATAAATAAACGAGGGCAGCTAGGTGACACAATGGATAGAGCACCAGCCCCAGAGTCAGGAGGACCTGAGTTCAAATTCGGCCTCAGACACACAACACTCATTAGCTATGTGACTTTGGGCAAGTCACTTAACCCTGATTGCCTCACCAAAAAAAACAAAAACAAATAAATGCTTGTTGATTGTTATAGGATGAAGAGGATACTTTTGTCAAGGAAATTTTTTTAAGGGGAGGCAAGAGTTGAGGATGTTTGCAAGGCAGCCAACAGGAAAAGACTGAAAATGGGAAATTGGGAGATGTAATGGCTAAGTAGCAAGAGGGTGGGGTCTGAATCAAAATGAATAAATGGGAAAATCCTCATATTTGGAGACTGAGGACTCATTTTGGCCCAGTGTTACTACTTTTGTGGCCTTGGGCAAGTCATTTTTCCTCTTTAGGTATATTTTATCTATAAAAGAAAGATGCTGGTCCTTCTCAGCTATAGATCCTATAGAATTCTAATGTTTTCTTTGTTCAAATCATTAAAACTTCTCATTTCAACATAAATACACACAGTAGGCTCTTAAAAAAAATTTTGTGCTATTTTTAAAATCACCATAATTTCCCCCTTCCCTCCTCAGAGGGCCATCCCATATAACAAGTATTTTTAAAGAAAAAAAATCAGTATAACTGATCAACATATTGAAAAAGTTTGAAAATATGTTAAACGTACTTTGTAGAGCGGTAGACCTCCTACCTCTCCAAAGGGGTGGGATTATCTTTATAGCTCTTTGGAATTATGCTCCTTTTGGTAATTTTGTCACATTCACTTTTGATTGTTGGGGGGGTTGTTGTAGTTCAATATATTGTTTACTTAGCTCTGCTTACTTCACTTTGCATCGTTTTGCCTATATCTTTCCCTGTTTGTATTAGTCATATTCATAATTTCTTACAGGAGACTAATAATATTCCATTACATTCACGTACCTCAATTTATTTAGCCATTCCTCAATCGACAAGCACGTACTTTGTTTCCAATTTCCTGCTATCACAAAAAGTGCTACTATTAATATCTTTGTATATATGGGGACTTTGTACTTATCAATGATCTCCTTGAAAGTATCTATGTCTAACAGTGGAATCTCTGGGTCAAACATTATAGTTTATCTTCATAACTCCAAACTGCTTTCCTGAATGGTTGTACCCATCCCCAGCTCCAACAGTGCCCTCCTGAGTCTATCTTCCCACAACCCCTCCAACACTGACTATTCCCACAGGTGAGCGGTTGGCTGAATTTAATTTTCCACACCTGGTTCCGCGCCTAGAGCGTCTCTCTGCCACCAGGGGGCGATGTGCAAACTGGAGGTTCGATTGAGCGTTCGACCATAGAGAAGCTGCTTCCGCTTCCGAAGTTTTCCGCTTCCTTCGCGTTTCCGTTTAACGCTTCGCAGACCCCGGGTTTAAAGGCTGTCTCTGCAGCTGCTGAATCCCGACGTGAGGAGGTAAAACGCCCTTGGGGCTCCTTCCCAACCATCATTTCGACCTCCTTCTTGCGACGAGAGCCTTGCTCGTCACAGAACTGTCGAGGCCCCTTTTCTACCCCATCCCCTAAGCCTGACCCAGGCGCAGGCGCAAAGCGGTTCCTCTCCTCTTTCTAGGTTGGGTGGGTTCCAAGCTTCAGCGCAGGCGCCGAGAGGCCCCAACTGGCGAAACAAAGGGTGACGCCGGGAGCCTTCGAGATGGCGGCCGAGCCGGGGAGTACGGGCCAGTGGAACCCAGCGCCCCCGGAGAAAGAAGCAGCTTCGCCGGTGAAACTGGAGGAGCCTGCCGCTAGCCTGGAGTCCCCAGAGGCCGCGGCCGCGCTCCGTGGCCGTGCGGCCCCCGAGGCCTCTCCCCCTGGCCCTGCAGCAACCGCTGCCTCGCCCCCGTCCCCAGTCCAGTTCCCCGCCGCCCTCGAGGCCTCGCCCCCGGCGCCCGGCCCCGGGGCCCCGGCCCGGCCCGGAGACGTTCCGCCAGCGCTTCCGGCAGTTCCGCTACCACGAGGCGGCGGGGCCGCGCGAGGCGTTCCGTCAGCTCCGCGAACTCTCCCGCCAGTGGCTGCGGCCCGAGGTCCGAACCAAGGAGCAGATCGTGGAGATGCTGGTGCAGGAGCAGCTCATGGCCATCCTGCCCGAGGAGATCCGGGCCCGCCGGCGAGGCCGCCGTGGAGATGTCCGCATCACGGGCTGACCGCGGGAGTCCGAGGCCCCGCCGGCTGGCAAGCCAGGAGCGGCCGCCGCGACGCCGGGCCGCATTGGGTCTCCCCGTACCGAGCTTGCCACCGAGCTACCGTTGTCTGTGTTCGCACCCGCCATCGCATTAATGAAACCTGATTTTTGGCAGTCGTGGCCTGTTGTGACTCTCTCCTTCGACTCTTGGTTCTCTGCTCCCTGGGAGCCTCCATCCCCTTTCCCTGTGGTTAACTGGGGGGAGGGCACCTAGGGTGGAGGCTGCCGAGTGCCCCATTCTTCAGTGGGTCGTTTTAGTTAACTCTGCTCAGTCCCAGTGTCTTGTGAAAGTAGACATCTATTCTTTCTGCTGGAGCACCTCATGTACAGAGAGACCTGATCGATGTCCCATGTCTGTTAGTGTTGTTATTTCGTGAAATGTTAAAGGACCTGCAAGGGACCATACAGTTTCTATCTAGCGCCCTTATTTCATAGTAAAGGCTTTTATTGTAGCAAATTGTTGTGGAGGAATGAAAAGATCATTCTCATTCCCTGTCATGTTATTTTCAGTAGTGCCTTTTACATGCATTATATCTTTTTAAGTAACCAGGCTCAGGGAGATCAAGAGTTGGCCTAGGGTACACTATTGATAGTAGAATCGGGGCTTTCTGTGCACTGTTTGAGAATGCCTTCGTACTGACTGTATGGTAATATCCAAATCCATTAAGTGTTTAGCAAGAGATTATTATTGTAGAAAGCAAGGTTGACCTATAGTTGAGGTTTGATAGCTGATAGGGTTGCTACTATCCACTGAGCCAAATGTAATGGATTTCCTGTTCATTACAACTCATTACAACTTGCAAACCACTTGTTTTTAGTTCAGTCCTTCACTCTGCCATCAACAATGTGGAGTAACATACATCTGCTTCTTGCCCTTGGCCAGTATTGCCTGGAGTGGAATTCCTAGGGAGCTTGTGCCCAGGACTGGCAGCTTCAGTGAACTATTTGCAACATTTGTTTCAATGACTGGGATCAGCAGTGGGCACTCTTGGTACTGTTGTGCCTAGCTGGTGCCTTTTTTTTTTTCCTAGTTATTCTGGAGTGTGTCTGAAACATTCACACATAACTAGAGCTAATAACTACTTTTTTTGTTTTAGTTTTGGGAAACATGCTATAACATTTGGCATTATGTCATAGCTGAAAGTATCTGGAGCTAGAGAATGTAACCATAGCCAGTTTGGTGCTTCTGCAGAAATTGTATTATTTCCTTACTTCACTGGCAAGCATCAGGTGCTCCTGGCATTTTTATCCTCTTAAAAATCATTAAATTATTAATCAGAAAAGGGTTCTTGTCTTCCTTTGTGATTCAAACTGATTTCCTGCATTAAGCTGTAAGGTAACCCATCTTCTACTTGGGTATGGCATGTTTTGGAGGATCCATGATTTTCATTGGTATGGTTTTTATGTGCTCATTAGGATTCTATATGCAAAATCTTCTTTTACAGAAAATGTCAGTAGTTAGCTATAATATTTTATTGAGGGATTTATGTGGTGGGATAGTAAACAAATAAGCACTGATATGTAAAACAACAAAAACCTATTTATTTTTTCCAAACACAGATAAAGAGGTTTCCATGTTTTGTAAATATTGCTCCAAAGCCAAACTTCTATATACAGTGCCCTCCATTCTAATAGTGCGTAAACAAACAGTTACATCTCCACAGTGCAATGTTGGCTCATCTCATCAAGGTTCTACCTTGCATTCATCCATCACTGATTTAAAGAAACAAAATTTAGTCAAACCAGAACTGCTTCTGCCAAGGCAATTTTAGTAGGATAGCCTTCATCCAGAGAGACAAAATTCAAATTTAGGTAATGTACAATAACTAAACATTTCTTAAGGGTAACAGCAGTAATTATTTCCAGTGCTCCAACTTTAGATTAACTAAGCTTGGTCCAGCATTCAGAGATGGAGGCCCTTAGCCCTGTACCATCCTCTGTATCACATAATAGAATCTCTTCCAAAGGAAAACCTGAAAAGGGGCATACTGTTAAGTCTTCAACTGAGTAAATCCCTCTTGCTTTTTTTATTGCCTCTTCTCAGGAAGACAAATCCTACTTGACAAATTAGATTAAATGAAATGGAATTTTATTTCCTTTCAAAATTATCCAGCAGAATAAAGCAAAAATGGCCAGTTGGCAGAACTCAACAGGAATTTTTCATTTCTGTTCCCAGCTCTTTAAAAAAAATCTAACCCGTTTCAACCCAATTAACTACCTTCAATGTTAACTTACTAATGAGGCCTCTAAATTACCCACATTTGGTATTCGGGTGGAACTTTGCAAAAAGAATCTCTGAGAACAGCTGTTCAGTCTGTTTCCTTTCAGTTGTCTTGGTTGTGAAACAGCTGTCCAGTTAATTATTTCTAATTTAAATATTAATATACTACGCATTTCTTCATACAGCAGCATTAGTGATGGGAAAGACTTTTTTTTTCTTAAAGCAGAGTCATATGAACTTTATTACAAGTGTCATAGCCACTGGGATTCTCTGCTGTATGGCTACCATACTTATTTTACTGTGAATCAGGAAATATCCTTTCCCCAAGGCCCTCATTTCCAATGTTAAACAATCCGGACCTTTCACAAAGACTTAGATACAAAGGTTAATCAAAGATCTTACCATTCCTATTAAGATGTTGACTATTTCAAGTTTACATAGTAAATATCTGCAGCATATAATATTACAGATTCATAAACCATTAATTAACTGTCAAATACTAATGGACAAGTGTGCTTTGATGTTTAAGTGGTATAATCATGAGCAAAACTAACAGTGGAAAAGAAGATCTAAAAGCACAAGGAGGATTCCCCTGCACTGCACCATAGGCAACACATAAGATACAGGGATTGTTATTGATGGCTGCAAAAGTAACACAAATACATCATTCTCAAAGGTAATAAATGACATTGTACCTGAAATTTAGGCAGCACAATCACCTTGATCTCACAAAATAAGATATACCTGGAAATTAAAATGTTGTGGTATATTAAAAGAAAAAAAGGAAGAGTTGTGGGGTATCTGGAAATACTATTAAAGATGAATCTCTGGGGAGGCTTACAGCGGTACATAGGGTCCAAGTCCTTACAGTATATAAAATAAGCTGACTCCCCAAAGGACATCCTGTTTTTTTAATGAATCATTACAGTAAATTTATAATTTTGGGGGGAAAAATCTATATTTCAAAAATGAATAGGAGCTATCAAATATTAACAAGGTGGGTAGAAAATACTGCCCTGGGTTACAGACCTCGCTCAGTTTGGAATACCTAACATAGGTCACATGCAGTGAGACCCCAGCTCCCCCTCAAGGAGCCTGTTAGCCCTAATGCAAGCAAAAACCCAGGCACATCCTGGGGTTGGGAACAGAACAAGCTCAAACTAAGTTGATTTTCCCGAGTACCATATAGTAAGTCATTCATCCTAAAGACATGATAAACTAAAATAATCATTTACTAGGGGGTGAATACAGCCCAAATGGTCATTTATTATAGCAATCTAGAGTACTTGGTGCAGGCTTTGGGCCTGTACTATTTAACCTCCATATAACAGTTAAGTCATAAAAAGGACATTCTCACAAAGCTCTAAATTACAACTCCCACTGATTAAATACCACGTGAGACAGAAACCAGGAAGGCTATTGTTGATCCAATCTGAAACACAAGTCAAATAAATAAACTGTAGAATGGGAATTACAACCATTTTCAAATAAACATTTTTGGCTCTTACTCCTTTATCAGTGGCACGATTTAAAGTGAAGTTTGTGCAAAAAAAAAATTATTTTCATTCAACAATTTATGTATAAGGAGGAAATCCTAACATTTCTTCTTTGCCTTCCTGCTCTTGAAGCCTGTGTAGACTGGAACACCCTGCTTTCAGCAGCCTTGATGTAAGAGTAAGGTGCCTGCTCTGTGTCCACCACACTCTGCCTGGATCCCTGAAGTCAATCCATGTTCTTTCATGCATTCAGTATGCAAGTTTTGTTTAAATATACAAAGAGCCTCCTACAGACATCCTGGTGATGGTGAGTGGGCAGTGCTCAGGTCAGTCTCACGTGGAACAACAAAGGGCAATCTGCTGCACCTTTCCCAAGTCCGTCAGGAGTTGCTTTATGCAATGCTTGAGCTGAGGGAGTCTGGCTAATGGCTCTGGTGGCTCCAGCTCTCCCGTGTAATCCAACCAACTCTCCAGAACTGGGCCCAAAAGACAGAAAGGGATATACCTGGTTAACTTCCAGCATTTCTTTAAGAATGTTAAAATGTTTCTCAGAACTTTCTATACTTGGTATGTGAACACTTTCTGTCAGGATTAAGGGGAGAAATGGACTCACATCAACAAGCATTTATTAAGCACCTGGCAGTATGGGGTCACCAAACTCCTTAATCTGGTTTTCAAGGTCCCTTGAGAGTAACCAAACAAGAACAATTCAAACCTCACTGGCCCATCAGCAGTGCCACCTATGATGCCACTTTTTGGTTTTATGCTCCATTAATATGCATTCTCAGCCATCTCCATTTCCCCCCATAGTATGTTCCTTGTACAAAGATGACACTTAAACTTTCGCTGAACTGTACTCATTTCCACTTCTGTCTCTGTTCTTGACATCTTGTTTAGAATTCCCTTTCCCTTTCCATCTATTCAATTTCTACTCATCCTGCTCAAGTTCTACCATTTCAAAGAAGGCTTCTCCAGCTAGTCCAACACAGAGCAATCAACCCACTGAATTCCTAGAACACTCTGACTCTAACTCACAGGGATCCTAAGATATAAAGATCAAGAGGGGTTTTTTTAACCCAAGGTCCATAATCACCACCAAATCCCCAAAAGTTTCTTTTGTAATCCTATGTATTTTACATGCATTTTAAACATTATTTTGAGAAGGGGATTGATAAGTCAATGGACCTGTGGACTCTCTTCTCAAATGAAGTAGTTGAACTATTTATATACACACACATACACATAGAGACTTTGTGTATGTGGGGGGAGACCCCCAAAGGGGTCCATAATGTAAAAACAGGTTAAAAGTCCCTGACTGATTATAGTAGATTCCTCATTTTAAAGCACAGGAAACAGGCTTGAAAGGTTAGATAACTTGGTCACTTAAGCAAGGAGAAGAAGATCCAGATTCAAACCTAGAAACTTTAATGTCAAATCTTCCGCATGATGCTATTTCTCAATTTTAGCAGGTTCACAGTGATAGAAGGCACTGCAAGTAGTAGGGCTAAGTATCTGAACTTCAATTCTGCTTTTACATCCAGTACCTCTCCAATGTCATTCCCACTCCAGTGTCATATTGCTGTCATTTGTACCCTCTCACTTATAGGGCCTTCTGGTACCTTTCACACAGATATACCACACTATAAAGCTTCTTGAGAGGGAATCACATTTTTAATTTTCCCCAGATGTTCCAGAGAGCCGATTCAGTGTAACTGTATAATATGAACTGGTGAATAAGCCTCATTATACTTTAAAATGAACAAGCCTGCCTTATGTCCTATGGGCCAGGGGAGGGAGATTTATCTGTTACACCTCCCCTGCTGCTCCCCAGAAGTAGCTGTACTTAGAAGGTAAATCAAAGCAGAAAGGCACAGGAGACAATGAAGAGCGTCATATTCAATTAAATATGTATTATTGGACACAAAAAAGCATACTAGATGCTCAAAGAGAGCACCCTTGCCCTTGTGGGGCTCTTAGTCTAATAGGGGAATAAGACACAAACACTGACAACACAAACAAGAATAATATAAAATAACATACAGAGTGGCAAAATAAAAGTGCAATATGAGACCTAAGGAGGAAAGTCACTCATCTGATCTACCTCCTCCCAGGTGACTCAAAAGAAAGGTTATTTTGGTGGAGTCAACACAAAACTTCCTCAGCACAGAACAAATCAGCTTGATCCAAAGGATCCAGGAAACCAGCAAAAGATTTTCCTCTATTTTGGGGACTGAATCCTACATAGGGTTTGATGTTCTATCTTTTGCACCTTCTTCTGGGAAATGGGAATATCACTATCATCTGTGGATTCTAAGTTTATGCTTCATAATGTGTTAATTTTCCCATCTATCTCTTTCCCATTTACTTGTTGGGTTCTGGATTCTAACATTTTTTCCTATTATTAACTCAAGTGCACCAAACTGACCAATAGAAGTGATCTTCAGGGAGGATGTAATTGACCTTTTAACCTAGAATAACAAATAAACAGTGGTGACTTGGGAAATTCAGATCACATCCCAGGACCAAAGCCATACAAAGACACATCAACGTCAAACCCTTTTAAAAAATATGCATTGTCAGTGGCAGCTAGGTGGCGCAGTGGATGGAGCACTGGCCCTGCATTCAGGAGGACCTGAGTTCAAATCCAACCTCAGGCACATGCTACTCACTAGTTATGTGACCCTGGGCAAGTCACTTAACCCCACTGCCTAGCCCCCCCTCCCCAATGCACTGTCAAGGAGCTTCAAGTACCAAAGAATCCAATAAGCATTTGATTCTCCAGCTCTCAAATGTAAATCCAACTCATTCATCACTTTTCATTTCTAATTCACAATCCCAGTTCTGACCCTCATTACTTTAACTCTTAAATCACAGAAAGAGCATTCTCTCTGGTCATGCCACCTCCTACTTCAATACATCCTAAAAGATCACATTGATCTTCCTAACTACCACTTTCATCATATTACTGCCCTACTTAAAATCCTACAGTGGCTTTCGATAGCTGGTCAATAAAACCCAAACACCTCAGTTTAGTATTCAAGGTACTTCATAAACCTGGTCCACCATCTCTTGAGCTAAGCTTTCATGAGATAAATTCCTGGGTTTCCAAACAAAATACTGCATGATAATCATAACCTCATTCTATTCCCTCCTTTGACCAATTCCTACACACTACAATGCTGTTTGGGCAGTGAGCATGCCCATCTTTCTCATGATCCTCAATTTATTTATCCCATTCTAGTCAGGTGAATTTGTCAAGCTCATTCCTGCCCCATGTCTATTAACATAAAGCCACCATTCATTCAAAACCCAGCTCAAGAATAATCTCCAAGAAGGCTTTCCTTAACAGCCCCAAATTGGTTAACCCCTTAATACTTATACAGAGCCATCCTATATCACCATGCCCTTCCTTACAGGTCACTCAGTAGGTGTTCCATGAATGTTGGCACCGCCTCACCATTTATAGCACTGATTTGCTAGAACGTAACTCAAAACCTCAGTCATTGATACTCCTGACCTAAAGATTCCAAGTTCCCAACTCAACATGATGTATTAAGTGCCTATGTTCCTGCCCTTTCCCCAAAGCAAAGATACATACATACATACATACATAAGATCCACAGGCTCTTTCTTATCTTTCCTTCCACTCGAGTTCTATTTCCGGTTCTTTGGGCTCATAGGAACCATGCATTATTCCACAGGAAATCTTTAAATTCATTTAGTACTTCAAGTATTGCTGTTTCTTTTGTGTGGGGCTGGGCACATAGTAAGCACTTAATACATCATGCTGAGTAAGCTGTTTAGACAGGGGAAGAGGCACCATGAACTGGAAATACTAGAATTCCCCAACGTGAAAGAACAGAGGAACCCCGTGGAGCTTACATGTCTGTTTGTTTGGGATAAGGAGCAGGCACAAGGGTCTGAAAATGAGATCAAGGTCCTGCCTGTGTCCCAGGGGTCTCTGAAAAAAAGAGAGGTTTACCATCCAGCTCCTTCTCGATGGAATCCATCCTGTGTGTGACTTCATCCTGCAGTGATTCCACGTGCGTGAGCAGATTAAGCTGCCACTGGAGGTGAGCGTTCACCACTCCTTCCCTGTCTTTTTCCAGCAGCTTCAGTGTGGGGGCTTCCTCTGAGGGGGCCTTTTTAGAAGCACACTCCCTCACCTGAAGATTGACAACACTGTGTTACTACTGAAGGGCTCATTCATAAGCCCTGATCCCTCCCTCCCCAAATACTTGTTCCAAAAGCTGAAAAAAGGATTCATGGTTTGAATTCTATGAATAAATACTGGTACAGTTTTTGATTCTCTTACAAGAGTTCCCCTTCCTAAGGCAGAAAGAACCTGGTTTCCTTGTGACAGTTCAGGTCACTCAAAGAGCAAGAATGAACTCTGGGCACTGCAACTTTACCCTTGGGCCAGGGAGCTGGGAAGAGATTACAAAAATGACCTGTCCTGACCCTGAACCCTAGAGAGATGCTACTTATTCCCTCTGCGACCCTCAGAGCTTTTTGGGAAAGGAAAAGGAGAGACTGCATTTTTGTGCTTAAAGTCAGCAAAGGATCTTTTTGCAATCCAGACTTCTAGAGCTGGAAGGACCCTCAGGATTTGTCTAGTCTAATGCCCACACAAAACATGAACTCTCCTTTAACAGCATTCTTAATGAATCTTGGATAGACAACTACTTGAAGAAATCCTTGCAAAGACTGCATCTACATAATGAATAACCTTAAATCTACCATCTCCCTGCGTTTGAATAAATAATAACATTTTTATTTAACCAATATTTACTGAGTGTGCTTGGTGTTCAGGGGAAAGAAAGATTAATAAAACATGGTCTCTGCCATCATAGAACTTGCAGCATGAGAGTTCTACAAAATATGTAGTTGTATATTTAATATATATAATATATAAATATATAATATATATTTATTTAGACAACTTATAATGCTAATATGAAATCCTTGGTTCTTTGGTAGCAACTAGCTGTTCGAGTGTATTAAAGTGTCATGCTGTGAACATTTTCACACTCTAAAAGTTGAAATTTAAAAGTAAAAAGCAAGGTCAGGATTAAGTGCCCAAAGGCAAATGGGGTGAAGGGCTGAGTGGGGTGCTGCTGCTTTTCTATTCCAAATGATTATCCATCCTAAGAAATGACTGAGTATTGGTTGATGGGATGCTGCCACAATGGTGTGAACTTACTACAACGCTCCAAATTTATCCCAAGGTAGAATCACTAGCACCACTCCTCTCTTGCACTCTTCACTTGGGATGGTCATGGCTGTGTATGGCTTCCGTACTGAAGAAGGAAATAGGGCAGTATAATACAGTAGAATGAATTCTGGTCTCAAGTTTAGGAAAAGTAGAGTCTAGTCTTTGTTCTGTCACAAACTAGTTATGTGGCCTTAGACAAGTCCCTTGCCATCCCTAGAACTCAGGATGCTCATCTGTACAATGAAGGCAGCTGAACTAGACAGCCTAAGAAGTCTCTTCCAGCTCTCATGTTCTACATGACTCTATGCCACTCACACGGCACTGGCCTCATACTCAATTTAAACACTAGCAAATACAAAACCAAATAAAATCAACATGTTTGGGTCTGAGGAAACTTTAACCATGAGAACAAAGTAGGTTATTTCATATGACACAAACATTAAATATATTGAGGAAATTCAAGAGATACAAACATACCTTTGAGTAAGTATGTCTCAATTCATTCTGCAACTTGATTTTTTCTTGGTCTAACTCCCACCCAAACCTTTCTGATAGCACATCATCCCCATTCTCCCGGATGGGGTTAACACCATCGTCCATAGCTGACCCTCTTGTCTCTACCACGAGCTTTTGTTCTACAGCAGGATAATAGGCTCGGGGTTTCTGATAACAGTGTTCACTGGTGATGTAAGACTCTTCCATGGAAGGAAAGGGCAGTGTTTTTTCTATTGTCCCACTGAAAGTTCTATAGCTCAGCACATCCTCCTTCTTCTTATCTTCAATGTGAAGGACATGTTTGGGGTGAGACTTCTCATCCCTGGAGTGCTGCTTCCAGGGCTGACACCACAACTGTAAATCAGGGTGCTCTTTGCTCCTGAGGGGAAAATAATCAGGAAAAGTTCTCTAGAGTAACTCAAAGGGATCCCATGTCATGAAGACTACACACATAGAAGCTTGGAAGAAGAGTCTATATCTATCTATCTATCTATATATATATATATAAAAAATGATCTGATCAGTAAATTACAGAGGGAATCATTAGTCCAAAAAGAGAGACCTTCCAAACAAAAATTCACCTAACAAAATTTTCTGTTACTTGATTACACAAAGTCTGTGACACTTATGAACTGTCTAAGGAAAGACAAGTTATCAGCAATATGCAAAATACCAGTGGCTACATGTCACACTTATCCTATACTTCCTCACATATATGGTTCCAAAGAGAATAATCATGACAAAGTGGAAACATTAGTATGCTTTCTAACTCATCATTATCACCCAAATATTCAAATTACAAGTCTTTTGACATTTCAGAGAAAAGATAACATTTAATAATAACATTTTTATAGCACTCTAAGGTCTGCAAAGCACTTCACAAAATATTATTTCATTCTATCCTCTCAACAACCTAGGAGCTAGTGCTATTATTATCCCCATTTTACAAAAGAGGAAACAGAGACAGACTGAGCTTAAGTGACTTTCCCAAGATCATGCAACGAATAAGTTTCTGAGGCCAGATTTGAACTTGTTTTCCTCCCAGATGGTTGGGGGAAAAAATGCTAGCTTCTACAGTCTAATACTACATTAAGTACACCTAATTTTTAAAAAACTATTATTTAGAATCAGGTTTGATATCACAAATTAGGGGGGAAAGTAATTTCACTGAATACAAAACCTTCCCACCCAAAAGGGACCATTGTCATAGGAAACATACTTCACAATTGTACCCCCCATTACTAGAGCAACCCAAACGTAGCAGAGTCACAATTTACCTCCCTCTGACCATTTCATTTCTAAAATTAGAGGTTAGGAGAAAAATGTTCTTCTTCCAGACACATCTTCTTTTTCTGAGAGTTTTGTAACATTTTTCACTTCCAGCACATGACAACTAAAATGTTTTCAAAAAGCCACTTTATACTTACTGTAAAATTCTCATCTTTAGCTGCAGCCCATGTAGAACTTCTATCACCTTTTGCACATCACCAAGAAGCTGGTGAGTGGCAACTATTTTCTTGGCGTTCTGATGGGAATAGTTATCTTCCAAAAATGCCAAACCATGCATGTGGCCATGGCTTAACCATTCCTTCTCATACCAGTACTTTACACCAGGTCTCTGACCTGAAGAAAGAATTAAAGTGATTAAAATATAACACTTCCAATACTGGAGGTATATACAGAGACACAGACTGGGATGGGAACAACACTGTTCATGCATAATTCACAAATAAACTTTCTAATATTGGCTTTGGGAAGAAATATTTCCCAGTACCTCTGGGGTTGAGATGGTAACAGAAGCTGAGGAAGCTGAGCAGAATGGATCAAGTGACACTGGTCAAGAGCTTCGCCCAAAAAGAAGTCATAAAATCAAAATTCCTTAATAGGATTCCCTTATTCAGTTGAATAACACCAATCATGACTACTCTTTCTGACTCAATCACTTAGGAAACACTCTTTGCCACTTCAGTGGCTCTGTGATTGCAATGATGATATGGGTAACTCCCTCCAAGGATACAGATAACAATGTAGCTATTGCCCCCTATCCCATCTGCTACTTCTCTAGGTTCTTTAAACCAGTCTTCCAAAGAGGGTCCTTCTCACTCCCTCCACCCTTTACCCACAGGTATAGACATCTATGGAGTTTGCAGGTCATCCCTTGCTGTCACCATGTGACTAGAACCCCACCTCTTATAAACATACATGTCTCTTCTTTCCAACTACAGAGGCTTTTGGTAAAGAAGCCCATTTGACTTCTGTAATAAAAGTAACAGGGTCACAAAAGGGAGCAGACTGCTAAGAATCACATAATTTTTAAATATCTAAATTAATTTAGTTTCTGGCATCCTAAATATGAAAACCTTTTTAACGACATACTATTGAAAGAACTTAATCATACACCAATCTTTATATTCTTGCAATAAAAGAAATAAGACAATAAGAAGCTAGGGGCAGCTATGTGGCACAGTGGATAGAGCTCCAGCCCTACAGTCAGGAGGACCCAAGTTCAAATCTGGCCTCAGACACACAACACTCACTAGCTATGTGACTCTGTGCAAGTCATTTAACCCTAAGTGCCTCACCAAAAAAAAAAAAAAAAGGAAGCTGATGCTTGGAAAGAAAGATCACAGATTTTGTTTAGAAAAGCAAATAAAATGTCCAAAAGCAAAAAGAAACGTTATCTCACCGGATATGTAATCATCTCACCATTGTATTCAGCACAAACCACAATTTGCATGCAATTGCCATGAAAATAATTGTGGTTTACATGTCAATATCAGCTGGAAGATGAGAAGTTAAAGAAATTCTACAAAGAAGTTAATCAGATTCTCCAAACTTAATCAAAATATATGTGGATACTTAGTGATTTCATTGTACAGAGAAGAAGGTGAAAAATACTGGAAAACATGGTACAGAAATAAGAAATGAAAGGGACAAAACTCCTATAGACTACAAAAAAACACACCTGCATATTGTGAACATTATATTTTAATCAGGCCAATGGTGCTGAACATGGGGAACATGAAATAACTTCAAACTAAATACTGTCTTTCTTTTTCTTTTTTTTTTTTTTGGGGGGGGGGGCTAGGCAATGAGGTTAAGTGATTTGTCCAGCATCACACAGCTAGTAACAGAGTATGTCCTTGCTGGAATAGACAAATTTCAGGAAAAATTAAAGGAACACTTCTCAAGATATCAGATGAGAGAACAATATCGTTAATGCTTAGGGGAAAGATCATGATCTTTATTCGAAGTTTAAAGGGCAACCAAAATATCAATAACAACCAAATCCACTTTGTCTTTGTTCCCACCTTTATAAAATCTTTATGCAAATCAAAAAATCATAAAATTAAGATTCAGAGATGAAAAGGACCTTGGAAGTCAGAATCAAACTCCTTAATTTCTTCTTTAATGAGGAGGAAGGGAACAATCATTTATTAAATATCTATTTTTTCCAGGTATTATGCAAAGTGCTTTAGAACTCTCTCATCTGGTTCTCACATCAACTATATAACGGAGGTGCTATTATTATCTCCATTTTATAGTTGAGGAAACTGAGGCAGATAGAGGTTAAATGACTTGCCAGGATCATACAGCTATTAAGTGTCTGAGGTCAGATTTGACATTTTAGCTTCCTAGCTCCAGCTCAGCACTCTATCCATTTTATCACCTAGTTGCCTATATTTCATGTTAGTATACAAATTAAATGATTATTTAAATGATTCTTTAGTATTAAATTAAATCACATAAGGACCATGATCATTCCACCCTTTTGGAAAGGTAATCAAAAATATAAGATAGATTTCAATTGGGTGACACATGCCTTAATTTTAGAGATGAGGAAACTGAGACTCAGAGAAGTCACTTCCTAAGAGTCATAGCCAATAAGTATCAGAGGCAGGATCTGAACCTAGGTTTTTGTGACTCCAAGTACAAGGCACTACTCATCATACTTTACTGCCTTTATTCAACATGTACATACAAAAATTGAAGGTATCCTGGATGAAAGCTTGAGAAGAAAAGAGAAGAGAAAATATCTCACAAATGGTATTCTCTAATAAATCTACAACCTTCTCCACAATTCCCATGACCTGCTCCACCACACCACCTCAGCTACAGAGATGGACATACCCTTCAACACTGCTATCACAATGTAAAACTTTCATGTTCATGAATTCTGAAATTCTCTTATCTAATCACAAGCTGTTGGCATTCCACCTCATCTGCTGCCTTGCAAACCCAAACCCTGTTTGTCACCCTCACTGTGATCTGCAATACCTCAATCCCCTCAGTTCCTTCCTAGGCCATCAATTCTGCAGTGGCACTCTCCTCCCTTCCCTACCTTGACCCCTTGGTTCTCTCAAGCCCCTAAACACCTTATCCTTTCACTGATCTTCCCTTGTAAGCTTCCACCTAAGATCACTCTCATCACTTGCTGCCTTTCTGTCCTGCTTATGTGGTGCTGAGAGAAGATGAAGAAAATACTGCCATCTGGAGCCACTACAAACTTAGGTTACATGATCTCAACTGAGCCCTCATTCCAGTCATGTAATTTTTTTATACCTCCCTCCCTGACTGACTCACTATGCCACTACCCCACACCAGCTTTTCCAAACCTTTTAATCCCTCCTCAATCCTCCCAAGGTTCTTCTGTCCCCTTGCCTCCGCTGTCCACTGGAAACATGAAGGCCATTCACTGAGAGCTCCCACCTCCTCATACAGATGCCTTCTACAACTAGTCCTTCTTCACCCTAGTATCACAGGAAGAGAAGGATTGCTGTGCTTGCTAAGGATAACACTTCTATGTGCATTCCATCCTAGCTCCTCCAACAAAGTGCTCCCTCCATCATCTCCATTCTTTTACTTATCTTCAATCTCTTCCTGTCTACTGGCCCCTTTCCAATCCTCACAAAATAAATCCTCACTTGATCCTTCTATCCCCACTACTGTCCTATATTTCTTGTGCTTCTGTGGCTAAATTCCTTGAGAAGGCTGTCTATTCTCAGCACCTCCACTTCCCTGGCTCTCACTCTCTTCTTAACTCTATATCAAAGCCTGTATCATTCAAATGAAATGTCTCCAAAGTGATTAATGATCTCTTAACTGTCAAATCCAATGGCCTTTCCTCAATCATTCTTGACCTCTCTGTAACATATGACACTGTCCATCACTCTCTTCTCTCCAGGTTTTCAAGACATGACACTGTCCTGGTTCTCCTCTAACCTTCCTGACTCCTCCTTTTCAGTCTTTTTCTGGATCTTTGATTTTTTCTGAAATTCAAATTACGTTTTCAGTGATGAATAATCTCCCTCTTTCTTCTCCCTCCTCTATCCAACTGAGAAGGCAAGAAAAACAAAGCTCATTTCAAAGGTGGAGGGAAGAGGAACAGGACAGGAACAGGAGATGGGAGGGGTTTTAATTTGTACTCAAGTTCATCAGCTCTCTATCTGGAAATGGATAGCATGTTTTATCATGAGTACTTTGAAATTGTAGTTCATCACAATTGTTCTACTGGTTCTTTTTACTTCACTTTGCATGAGTTCATACAAGTCTTCCCAGGTTTCTCTGAAACCATCTCTTTCATTATTTCTTAACACAACAGCATTCCAACACATTCAACCATAACCTGTTCAGCCATTCTTCAATTGATAGGCAACTTCTCAGTTTCCAATTCTTTGCCACCACAAAAAAAAAACTGCTATAAATATTTTTTTGGTCCATATAAGTCTTTTTCCTTTTTCTTTGACCTCTTTGGGGTACAGACCTAGTAAAAGTATTGCTAATTCAAATGGTATGCACATTTTAATAGCTTATGGGACATAGTTCCAAACTGCTTTCCAGAATGGTTAAACCAGTTCATAGCTCCACCAATACTTTTACTGGATCTTTGTCCAGGTTACTCCAGCCAACCACAGGCCTCTGTCCTAGGCCTTCTTCTCTTCTTCCTTTATACTACTGGTTATCTTATTAGCTCCCATAGATTCAACTATCATCTCTATGCTGATGATTCTCAGATCTAATCATAAAGCCTTAACCTCAGTATGACCTTCAATCTTGCATTTCCAACTGTTTATTGGCTATTTTGAACTGGATATGCTGCAGACATCTTAAACTCCAAATGAATGTAAGCTCAACAGAATTCATTATCATTTAATCCAAACTCTCCCCTCTTCCTAACTTCCAATTACTACTGGGCCTATCACTATTGTCCCCGTCATATCACATGACCTAAGTATCATCCTCAACTCTCCACTCTCCCTCACACCCCATATTCAATCTGTTACCAGGGCCTGTCAATTTTGTCTAACATCTTTCCCATACACTTCCCTATCTCTTCCATTACTACTACCACTATGTTAAAGGCCAACATCACCTCATGCCTTAACTACTGCAACAGTATGCTGGTTGATCTCCTGCCTCAAGTCCCTTCTCACTCATTCCGATGATCCTCCATTCAAAGTGATCTTCCTAAATTTAACCATATCATCCCTCCTCTTCAATCATCTGCAGTGGCTCCCTATCACCCTATCATCAAATAAAAAATTTTTAGCATTCAAAGCCCTTCATAATTTGGCCCCCTCCTACCTTTCCAATATTCTTACACTTTGCTCTCACTTCTTATA